CTATCCCGAACTAGATACAAAATAGTTTGGTTAATACCATGGGATCACTATCCCGAAAGAGATATAAGAATAAACCATGGGATCACTATCCCGTATAGGACATAGATATAAAATAGTTTGATAATACCATGGGATCACTATCCCGAAAGAGATCTAGAAACAAAACCATGGGATCACAATCCCGAAAGAGATATAGGAATAAACCATGGGATCACTATCCCGAACGAAATATAGTTTCTGAACCCAAGCTGTGAATAAGCTGGTATTAATACATATTGTGAGTCGGGTAACCATACTAATATGACAACGTGACCTCCTTGACGTTTGTCAGACGTCGAACGATATCCAGGAATTTGTCACCCTAGGCGTGCCCGCCTAACTGTAGCTAGCAGTTAAGGTGTGGGATTGTCAGTCCCGAATAGATCTATTCACAATTTTCGCGCTCTCCCTCCAGGAGACTCTGGTTACACTTCCGAGGAGGATTTACTGATCATCCATAAAGGGTAGTGACTATCTCACAAACTAGTACTAAACTATTCACAGGGTTCTTGTAAGATATCGATATACAGAAGATTATGAAACATAGTACAGTAAAGTATAGATACGTACATGAAATTATCTGACAATACATTAAAATGATACGGAGATAAACTGAATCAGACATAGTTTATCTAATAACTTGATATAGACATCAGTATACGATAGAAAGAACAGTAATGACCCCCAAATTATTCCCATAATAATTTGATTAGTTTGATTGTTTCCTTAACTAAATTCATTTAGTTGAAATCGAATAGTCATTCCTTATGCTCAGCATAATACATAAGGAGTAAAAGAGTTTATAAGTTTTTCAGATATTGTTTGAAACATATCAATGTTGTGATTGGAAAACAGTTATAGTTTGCTTGTATTCCCCCCCTTAAAACATTGAAAACAGTGAAAAAGCCGTAGGGGTATGAACTCACCGGACGAGATATGAGACGATTTGGATGCTAAGAGCTGAGCCGGGACTTGTAAACACACGAGGTTCCTAATTATGATGTAAAGATACACATTTGTATCTAATTAGGACTTAGATTGATTGTTGGATAGGGACAAATGCTTCAGGTCGCGATAACACGACGATACAAGTGTTTAGAGGGACCCGGGTGGCGTTTAGGGACATGAATGATACAAGGGACTTGGGAAATGAGTTGGGACATCAAAGCAACACTCCCCTTATGGGAGTTTACGGCCAAAACACCCATCCCCATGAGTTTACGGCCGTAAACTCATGATGGGTGGTTTATGGTGCAAATTGGACTTCCAACACTTAGGGGATAATTTCTAGACTTGGTTTAAGGACTTGGAATGATTACAAAACATCAATTGGACCCCCTTTATGGGAGTTTACGGCCTAGCATGGCTCCAAGGCCGTAAACCCTTATTTACCCAAGAAAATGATGTCAAATGGTGCTAGAACAAATCACATGTGATTGGTAGAATTAATCCAAGACCTATCATGAGTTTGCAAGGGACTTTTGGGGTGTTTATGGAGTTTACGGCCCATGAAACCCCCTTCATGGCCGTAAAATCTAATATATGGTGTTCCAAGGTGTTTCAAGGTCTAAAACTTGCTTGAAAGGACTTCTAAAATTCATCTAAGGGCCTTAGGGGTGTTTAGTTTGCATTCTAACACCAATAATTTTGGAGTTTACGGCCCAAGAACAAGCCTTGGCCGTAAACCCTTAGAAATCTCACAAATGATGTGTTTTAGGCCCTCAAGGTATTTTTGGTTGGTCCCTTGATTTATTCCAAGGCTTTTGGTGGTGTTGGATGGCTTTCTAACACTTTAGAATAGGATTTATGTCAAGTTTTGGGGAGTTTACGGCCCAAGAACTCTCCTTGGCCGTAAACTCATCTAAATCCCCCAAAATGCATGTTTCAAGTGTCCAAATGCTAGAACCAAGGTCCTATAATTCATATCTAGGCCATAGAAGTGATTTAGAAGGGTTTAAGGGCATGAAAACCCTAATTATATGAGTTTACGGCCCAAGAATGATCCTTGGCCGTAAACTCCTTCAAACATCACATAATTCAAGTTTTACATGTTTAGATTCCATATTTTGAAGTCCCATAGCCATATCCAAGGTCCAAACTAGTCAAGGAAGGGTTTAAGGGCTCAAAACCCACCATCTTTGGTGTTTACGGCCTAGGCACCTTCTTAGGCCGTAAACTCACATATATTGTCCAATTTCATGATTAAGTGTCTAATTAGGAAGCTAAACATGCTATAGATTAAGGCTAGGAAGGTACCTTAAGGATTTGAAGCCTTAAATTTGAGTTTTGGATCCTTAATCTTTGGATTTTTGGAGAGAGGTTAGAGAGAGAGAGTAGTGAGAGAAGGAAAAGCTTCAAATGAAAGCTGAAAAACGTTTATATAGTTCCCAAAATTTGCACGCGGTGGAATTCTACCCGATACCGACGCTAAACGCGGCTTTTGGTCGCACCCGATTGAGTTTCCGTCACCCGACGAGAACATTTTTAAAACTTATGAAATAAATGTTTTTGGGCTAATAACATAAGTTCCTGAGTGATTTAAACACTCATTAGAATAAAATAAACATATAAGTTTATACAATTAATTCCAAAGAAAAAACGGAACGAATCCAATAACGGCGACTTTCCGGGTAGAACGAGTTTTGGCGACGAACAAATTTCGGGTTGTTACATACCACAACATCAATCGCCATCACCAGACCCTGAAATTGCACATGGAACGCCACCATCACCTGACCAGCAGTCAACGATTCCACCTTCACAACAACATCAACCATCATCACCGCAACATCTGACACCCCCACCCCCACCACCGTCACCACCTCTGCCACCCCTTATTTATACTTATGCTCGCAACACCCATTCTCGGTCTACTATACCCACACCAACTACACAATCTGATATGCCTGATCCTCGTCCCTCAAACCTTCGCCCTAATCCCAAACCAGTTAAACATTCCTTTCATAGCCATATCAGCACACCTGAAACAGAACCTGCCACATTCAAAGCTGCACACAAGGACCCAAAATGGCAAAAAGCCATGCTAGATGAATACTCGGCACTTCTACGAAATGGTATCTAGACATTGGTACCACGGCCACCGAACTCGAATATTATTGACTGTAAATGGGTGTATAAACTCAAACGGGACCAAACAGGGGCAGTGTCACGATACAAAGCACGCTTAGTTGCCAAGGGGTTTCGCCAACAACACGGTATCGATTATCAGGAAACTTTTAGCCCGGTCGTTAAAGCCACCACCATTCGGGTCATTTTATCCTTGGCGGTCACACAAAAATGGCCCTTGCGACAGCTTGATATTCAAAATGCATTTTTGCATAGAGATCTCCATGAAACCGTTTATCTTCGACAACCTGAAGGATTTGTTGATTCTACCTGATCATGTGTGCCTTCTCCGTAAGTCCCTATATGGCTTAAAACAGGCTCCACAAGCCTGGTTTCATCGGCTTTATACGACACTTTATACTCTCGGATTTCAGGCCTCCAAAACAGACCCATCCTTGTTTATTTACTCTTCCAGAGGCATTCTTCTTTACATGCTTGTTTATGTGGATGACATTATATTAACAGGAAACAGCCCTGCTGACATTGAGCGTGTTATTCAGACTCTTAGCCAGACTTTTTCACTTCAAGATATGGGCTTTTTATCCTATTTTTTGGGCATTGAAATTGTTAAACAAGGACCTGATCTGCTTTTGTCTCAAAAGAAATACATTCTTGACATATTGGAACGTGTTGGTCTTTCGCATGCAAATCCAGTTTCAACGCCTCTTACCACCACAGCAAACCTCTCACTTGGCGATAGTCCACAGTTTGATAATCCGGTACAATATCGCTAGATCGTTGGAGCTCTTCAATATGTCACTTTATCTCGTCCAGACATTACGTTTGCAGTTAACAAAGTCTGCCAATTCATGCATTCTCCCACTCAAAATCATTGGTCCGCCGTGAAACGAATTCTAAGATACTTGCAAGGTACTGTTTCCTATGGTCTTCTGATTAAACAAGAGTCGGCTACACTTTTACATGCATACACAGATTCAACTTACACTCCGTTGAATGCTTTTTCTGATGCGGACTGGGCTAGTTGCCCAGATGACCGCCGATCCACCGGGGGATATGCTATCTACCTTGGCTCTAATCTTGTTTCATGGTGCGCACGAAAACAAAAGATTGTCTCGCGGTCATCCACAGAGTCTGAATACAAAGCTCTTGCTAATACAGTTGCAGAACTTACATGGCTTCAAGCACTCTTACGTGAACTTCGTGTCTCTACTCCTTCTGCTCCAATTTTATGGTGTGACAATCTATGAGCCACGTACCTAACCGCGAATCCTGTGTTCCATGCACGTACTAAACATGTTGAAGTTGATTTTCACTTTGTGCGAGAGAAGGTTGCCCGACGACAACTAACAATTCAGCATATCTCCACAGATGATCAAATTGCAGATATATTTACAAAACCCCTATCCTCACAGCGATTTCTATTCTTACGTGACATTCTATTCTTACGTGACAAGCTACAGGTCACTACTCGACCTTAGCTTGAGGGGGAATATTAGACGTGTATATATATATATATATATATATATATATATATATATATATATATATATATATATATATATATATATATATATATATATATTGAGGGTGTAGAGTGAAAATATGTTTTGTATATATATATCCTTTTACTCGTTATCTTATGAATCAATTACAATATTCAATTCATTAGTGAAAGAAAAGCATCATATATTAACAGCAAAAAAAAAGGCACTAAACTACAATAAATGCATTGGGTAATAACTACCAGTGCATTGGCTAAATAGAGAAAGCACATATCAAAAGGTGAAAAGATCAATATTTTGAAGGGTATCCAAGTAACCTTTACACAAACAAAACAGGAAAAAAAAAAAAAAAAAGATGAAAACAGTCACGTTAGCTAAACAGCATAAGCATGAACTCAAAGCATCATCAATCACTTAATGTTGGTAGTTATGAGGTAACAACTGGAAACTTCATATTCGGTGGGAAAATGAAGCCTTTAGTTTGCAAACGAGAAAGAACCTACAAATGAGAAGGCAGTGAAAATGACATTATATTAGGATCATTGATTGATTGAGAAGACAATAAAAGATACATGAAACAAGTTAGTCAAAGGATAATCAATAAACTACTATACAACTAATGATCATATGAATTTTACAAATATATTGTGAAAGCAAAAGAAATTATACCAAAGAGCAGAAAACCCCAATTTTAAGCTCCTTAACGTTGCCAAGCTTTAGTATAAATCCTTTAAACATCTCGTCTTCCGTTTCTTGCCGTGTCATGTCCCAAGTGAAGAGAATATCATAATTTAAGTAAACTTCGACTAAAGAAGACACATTTAGCAACAAAAGCTTCCACAACCACAGGTTGCCTTCGATTGTCAGTGATAAAACATAAGGTGCATTAATTTCGATAATATAGGCATCGATTGCATTATCAACATCCAAGTATCCAAATAACACCAACTTCTTAACACTCTTTGAAGTAATATCAATTCTCTTAAAACCATAGCAATATTTCAACTCCAAAGTTTCCAACAGAGGACTCCCGGATAATATGTTTTCAATCAAATCTTCATTTAGCTTACCAAAGGAAATGCACAAACTCCTAAGATTTTTCCAACTAATCGCTCCAATTGGAGTAAATACGCACGCCTGTAATTTCAGATCAGTAAAACATGTGTTGATGAAGAAAAATTGATCTAACAAAAACTTCCGTTTCTCTTTAGGTAACCTTAAATTAAACTCTTCTACATTACATCTCAGAGCATAACGAATCCAATTGTTGATACGCGATTCAAATCCAACAAATCCTCTAGAATAACGGGAATACACGAGGAATTTCTTAAGCTTCAATTGGCGACATTGATTTAGGGTTTTGTCCACACATAATGCGAAATCAGGCCACGTATGTCTACCACCATGTATAAAAGTTAAATTAGGAACCAAAGTCCAAAGATGGTTCCATCGTTTGGAGAGTGTACCTGTTCTAATGGAGTCTTTTGTTGTGGGTAAATGAGACAGGATTTCAAGAAGCAAGCAATCTGGCAACGAACAGATTCGATCGAGTTCACCCTTCACCACGATTTTTTCAGATTTTCTCTGTTTTCGCCTAATTTTAGGTTGATTTTGACCTTCTTCCACTGTCTCCATGGCGGAAACAGAGCTCTCGTCGCTTTATCACATCGACCACTGCGTCACGATTATATCCAAACGGATGATGAAATTTGAAATCAATAAAATTATAATTTCCCCCCTAAACTTTGAAAAGTATAATTTTATATGAGATATATATTATCATATTTAAATCGTTTTTTATAATTGATTATAACCGCAAATTTTAAAAAATATATTTTTGTAGCGTTTGTCAAATACTATTGTACCTGACGGAATTGGATTAGATAGATTCGAATGCAACTGCATATAACTAAGCTGGACTAGTTATATTGCGTAGGGTTATATTGGATCACAATCAAACACAATATTAAAATTACCAGATCATCCTTGAGATTAATTCTAATATTTCTTTGTAATATTAAAACTACAAATGGATAACTAATAAATTAATAATTGTATATAAACAAGTTATATAAAAAATGGCATTCCTAAATATAATTGTGGTTTGCTTTGTAGGCCTATCGAAAAAACCCGAAACCCGTTCTACCCACCCGAAAAAACGACGGCTCGATAGTCGACGCAAACTTGCAAAGGGCATACGACGCCGGAGTCCTGAACCGTTATCACAATTCTCAGTTTCTCTCTATCACACGTAATGGAATTAAAAAAGTACATAACATATTATAATGATTTGTATTGTTATTATAGATGTACTTGTTAATTGTATGAAGTATTTTCCTACCCAATTGTTTATTAAATCAACCAACATGTAATAAAAATATATCAATAAGTGTCATTTAAGAAATTTTCAAGTATACCCGATAATTACCCGACCCGACCTCAAACCCGAATACCCGAAAACCCGAATTACAATATAGGTTAGGTATCGGGTATTATTTTCTTAAGAAAATACCCGTTCTACCCGAATCTCGAAAATTTTACCCGTTCGACACCCATATTGCTTTGTATCAAGATGATATTCCTATAATTTGGTAGATTTTTTCACAATATAATGATGTAATAGAAAGAAATGAAAGGAAGATGTTATAATGAACAAGTCAGTGAAAGTATGTTGCATTTAGCCCTTCTCTAATGTTGCTCGCACCATCAATATTCTAAGCCTATGTGAAAGAAGAAGCAAAGCCTCCTGCCTTACAAAAGCTAGACATTATCAAACACAATTAAATGAGAAGAAATTCTTCATAAAAGTTAGGGAAATCTCCAGAAAAGTTCTCTAATTTTAGTCTAATTTATGAAAAAGTCCCAAACTAATTTTTGTTTACAGAAAAGCACAAAACACCCGCTAAAACTTCAAAAAAAAAACCTTTTTGCCCCGTTTCAAAGATTTAGCTAGTATTCTGTCAGTTTTCGTTAGTTTGCTCAAAATATTAGGATTTTTTGAAAATTACCCGATAACCAAAATATTGGGACTTTTCTGAAAATTACTATAGAGTTAATGGATATTATTATTAATAAATTATTTATACACATGAATTTTTTTTATTATAAACAAAGGAAATACATTTTTAGCTAATTTCTAGGAATAGAATGGTCGACTATGTACTTCTCTATTGTTTGTTGACCACTTCAAAGTCATTATGTTCTCTCCTATGTATCGTTGTGGGTGTCATAGTAAGAAGTAACTTGTTAGGCGTGACCAATACAAGATTTGGTAATATTTATTAATAAACAATCAATAAGTGTCTACTTGCTATTAGGCATGACGCTATATGATCACATGTTATTAGAAAATATAATTACACAACGATTCTTGAACATATAGATATTTTATTATGTTCTTTAACCTAATTACCACCTAACCTCCATACATCACCTGGTAACAACCATCAAATTACACACATCTATCGAGAGTGAAAAGTAAACTTTGAATGATAATTTAAATAGATAATCATCTCTTACTTGTTCCCATATAAACTATCATTCATGGATCACTTTTCACATTTGATAGATGTGTGTTAGCTGATGGTTGTTAACATGCGATGTATGGATGTTGAGTGGTAGTTAGGTTAAACAACATAAGATGAACACCAACATTAAAGAAACACTAATTGAGTACATCTCATCATCATATCCACAACAATGCATATGAGGAACGTAAAGAGTTTGAGTGGTCAGCAAACAATAGATGAGTACTTAGACAACCAATTTGTTCCTAAAAATTAGCAACAAATGTATTTCCCTTTTTATAATAAAAATATTTTTTGTGTTTATAAAAGATTTGTTAATAATAATATCCATTAATTCCATGGTAATTTTCAGAAAAGTCCTAATATTTTATTTATCAAGTAAATTTTGGAAAAGTCACAAAAATTTGAGCAAACTAACAAAAAAGCACAAAATAGCGGCTAAATATCCGAAACCGCCCGAAAAGGTTTTTTTTTGAAACATAAGATGAACATCAACATTAAAGAAACACTAATTGAGTACATCTCATCATCATATCCACAACAATGCATATGAGGAACGTAAAGAGTTTGAGTGGTCAGCAAACAATAGATGAGTACTTAGACAACCAATTTGTTCCTAAAAATTAGCAACAAATGTATTTCCCTTTTTATAATAAAAATATTTTTTGTGTTTATAAAAGATTTGTTAATAATAATATCCATTAATTCCATGGTAATTTTCAGAATAGTCCTAATATTTTATTTATCAAGTAAATTTTGGAAAAGTCACAAAAATTTGAGCAAACTAACAAAAAAGCACAAAATAGCGGCTAAATATCTGAAACCGCCCGAAAAGGTTTTTTTTTGAAGTTTTAACCAGTATTCTATGCTTTTCTGTAAACAAAATTTAGTTTGGGACTTTTTCATAAATTGACCTAAAATTGTAGGGCTTTTCTGGAGATTTCCCTAAAGGTTGCAAAAACGACACAACATGAATCATATATACAAAAAAAACTATGCTATTTTCTATAAAAGCTAAGAATAAAACCAATATAAACGTTTCTCTTTTGGACTAAATGCAAGAAATACCAACTTACTTTCATATACTTGAGCGTTACAACATCATAAGTTCATTTCTTTTGTTGCAACATCCTACTTTTGCCTTCCTTTTTATTAAGGCCCTATACTTTGAAAATTTTACCTGATTATAACATTATACATTCAACTATTTTCTTATTAGAAAACATTATGCATTCAACTATTTTCTTATTAGAAAACATTATACATTCAACTATTTTCTTATTAGATCATTGTACTTTGTACAATCTACTCTGGAAGTTGCTTTTTTTTGGTGGATGGCATCATTATAGCTGTGTAGATTTTTCAAAGGGAAGAAACAAAAGTATGATGCTATAACAAACAAGCCAATGAAAGTACAATCCTATTGCATGGATCCAACCCTTCTCTATATGTAGGTTGTTCCATCGGTATTTAATGCTTACAAGAGCCAAGGGGTGGAGCAACAAGGACCAAAGACCAAAACATAGAAATTAAAAAATTAAAAAATAAATAAACAAATAAAAATAAATAAATAAATAAATAATGGGCAGAAATTATTCTCTGGACAAACGATTGGAAACTTTGATCTTGCATTTGGATGGTTTGCAAATTATCTTGGAATATTTGAAGAAACAAGTGGTATAAAACTCTTAACGGAAAAAAAGTTTCTACTTATAGTGTCATAGAAAGATAACTTTTCTAGTATCCCAACAAATCAAAAAAGCTAGCAAGGTTGTGAGAAGTTAGTTACTAAGTTCCGGCTCGTGCGTCAATTTTACCTTTGTAAGCGAACAGTTTGATGAAGATTGATTGTCTCGGTAAATCAATAATCATCTAATACTTTTGAGTTGTGATGCCTTACATTTTGTTATTATTATTTTGGTTTTGAATAAAAATAAGAGACATGGTAATTTTGTACGCTCAGTAGGATCACATTCATTATACAGAAATGGTGAAGATAAGATAAGGTACCACACAACACAACAAGAAGAAACTAAACATAAAATGTAACTTTTTTTTTTTCTCAACACCACCTAGATTTGCTCTCAATTTTGGATATACACTTAGTCACAATATGTCAATCCTTACAAACCCGTATCCAGGTGTAACAACCTGAAGTTTTCCATCGTCGAAAACCCGTTCTACCCATAAAAATTCACCGTTAGTCGATTCGTTTCTTTTCCCATTTTTGGTTAAATTAATTTAATTTATATATTTATTTTAATCCATTGAGTTTCCAAACCCTTTAGGAACTCATGAAACTAGCTCAAAAATATTTATTTCAAAAAGTTTGGAAACGTCCCCGCCGAGTGACGGAAACTTAATCGGGTGCGACCAAAAGCCCCGTTTAAGGTCAGTATCGGGTAGAATTCCACCGTGTCCAAGTTTTAGAACCTATATAAACGTGTTTAAGCACCCATTTGAAGCTTTTTCTTCCTCTCTCTACTCTCTCTCTAACCTCTCTCCTAAATCCAAAGTTAAGGGTCCAAATTATCAATTTAAGGCTCCAAATCCTTGAGGTACCTTCCATAACTTGTTGTACAACCTCTCTAGCTTTAGAATTCGAGTTTTAACATTTAATTAGGACCATTATTATGAGTTTACGGCCCTAGAACAGTACTAGGCCGTAAACTCAAGAAAGTGGGGTTTTTAGAGCAACAAAACCCTTGCAAACCTCAAATGGACCTTAGACATGACTAAATGACCTTGTGGAATGGACTTAGAATGCCTTAAACTATAACTTGAAGCATTGTATATGAGTTTACGGCCATTGAAGGTGCCTAGGCTGTAAACTCACATTTAAAGGGGTTTTAAGCCCTTAAACCCTCCCTAAACTCAATCAAGCCCTAGTTATGATTTTTAGAAATTATGTAATGGACTTGGAACTCATTAAACATCAATTTTGAGAGATTTGTATGAGTTTACGGCCAAGCCATATGCTTGGGCCGTAAACTCCTCAAACATGGGTATAAAATCATTTCTAAAGTGTTAGAATGCCATCCAACACCACCAAAAGCCTTGGAATAAATTAGGGAACCAACCAAAAATAGTTTAGAAGCCTTAAACACA